AGAGAGAGAGAGAGAGAGAGAGAGAGAGAGAGAGAGAGAGAGAGAGAGAGAGAGAGAGAGAGAGAGAGAGAGAGAGAGAGCCACGCTGTCCACGGGTTGATGCTGACACGTTCCGTGTGGTTTCTTCTTTGCCTTATATCTTCCAGGAAATGATCCAGGATGCACGCCCAGCAATACGGCTGCTCGAATGTTTCGTAGGAGAACAGCGAACGCCAAGCAGGTTGAATGTTGAAAACTCCATTCATACGTGACAGGAGCTGCTTAACAACAATTGCACTCGTACAATTGAAGGCAACTTCCTGCTACTACCCCAGAGCGACTTTCAATCACACCGTCTCGGCCCACTGAACCGAGACTTACACACACACGGAGATGGTTTGTGTGAGTTAAGTCAACCACTTTTCTCGGAGGTATGGCCAGCTCCGGGTGACGTGGCGAGTCGTGATCCATCACTCAAATGCATCCTGGACCGACCATCGTGGTTCAAACTCCTGATGACCTTTTTGCGGGTGGCCGCAACAGGTAATCTAGTCATTAATAATCACTGTAGTTGTTTTGTGGGTTGATCCTGTATTCTCGAGGATGGAGGAAAGGAAAGTCGAAGTGGAGAAGGTGGTGATCCATGCGTCGTCGGCGTTGGACATTACTTTGGCCCACTGTCCGACGCTGATTCCTTTCGATCGTTTGAAATGCGACGCCGCAGATTTATCGTCCGAGATCGAGGCTGGGCTCGGATCGGACGGTCTGGGAATAATTTGCGTGTCCGGTGTGCCTGGCTATCCCGAGCTGCGACGAAGACTGCTGCCTTTAGCGGCCAAGATTGCATCTTTGGACGAGGAGGTGAAGAAGCGCTTGAGCCATCCGATGAGTCACTACATGTTCGGTTGGAGCCATGGGAGAGAGACACTGGAAGACGGAAGGCCGGACCTTTACAAAGGGTCGTTCTACGCCAATCCGCTGGAAGATGAGCCAACGAACGACACGTGGCTGATCGACAGGTACCCTGCGTGCTGTTCGCCCAACCTGTGGCCATCACCGGAGGAGGTTCCAGATCTGGAGCCGGCGTTTAAAGCGCTGGGCAAATTGATGGTAGATGTGGGACACCTGCTAATTAGAGAGTGCGACAAGTATGTGCGACAGAAAGAGCCAAGCATAGAAACCGGCAAGCTGGAGAGAGTGCTCAAACAGTCCAAGGCCTGCAAAGCTCGCCTGCTCCACTACTTCCCCTTGTCATCTCCTCCTCCTCCTCCTCCTCCGTCCTCCTCCGCCTTATCTCCTCCCGATTCCTCCTCCGCTGAGACAGTCGTGGGCTTGAAACTGCCGAGGAGGACAGCTCCGACGACGCGCGAAAGTGCTGCGGCTGCATTTGGTCGCGGTCGCGACATCTCTACGTGGTGCGGTTGGCACAGGGATCACGGGTCTTTGACAGGCCTCACCTGTGCAATGTACTTGAGGGAGAGAGTACGAGAGCGAGAACGCGGCTCAGGAGGAGGAGGAGGAGGAGGAGGAGGAGGAGGAGGAGGAGGAGGTGGAAAAGGAGTAGAAGGTGATGAAGGAGGGATACACGGCGACAGAGGAGGAACCGATGCACAAAGGGGAGAAGGGAACTGGGGAACCACAGAGGGAGAAGACAATAGTCGGGCAGCAGGAGGGGGGAGAGAAAGCGTTTGGAAGAAACCAAGCTATGGCGGCGCAGAAGTGTTTGGAGGAAGCGAAACAAGAAGGAAACAAGAGTTGGAGTGGGAGGAAGTGCCTTCGCCCGATCCTGATGCAGGACTTTACGTCATTGGTCGCGCAGAAAAGCTAGTGAAGGTATCCTTCCCTCCTGATTACATTGCCTATCAGCTTGGCGAAGCCATGCAGATTCACTCAGGCGGACACCTCCGCGCCACCCCCCACTGCGTCAAAGGGGCAGAAGGCCCCGACGCGGTCGGGATCTCGAGGAATACCTTCGCGGTGTTCATGCAGCCTGCTTGGGATGAGCCCATGGATGTTCCTCCCGGGATGTATCTACAGCAGAAGGGTGCCCGACGCGTCACCGTTGGTCCTGCCGAGGTGGGTGTCAGCCGGTGGAGGGAAGGCCTGACCTTTGGGGGATTCGCAGAGAGCACTGCTTCCAAGAACCACTGACTGACGATTTGGTGGAGAGGAGAACAAGAACGACGACGATAAAAGAAAGATATATAGGGGAAGAAGCGCAGGTTGAACAGCTCTTCAGACGTGGGGGGCGGACACGTGTGGTCGGGTCGAGGAGCAACGAACGGAGCATCCAACGTGTCACCGACAGTTCCGATGACATACGCGGGCGTCAGTGAGAGTAGGTAGAGGGGGAGAAAGTCTACTGAACTTCGGCAGCGAGGACCACCTCCAAACAAAGACTCACCGAGCTACAGGTGAAGGAGAGGAATTCGAATAAAAAAGAAAAACGGAGGACAGGAACATGCACTACATGAATGTGTGTCATCGTCATCACCACTGTCAATCCCTTTTTTTTCTTTTGCTGTTTCTTATCGTGATGACGTGGACGTCAGTGAGTGGAGGACGAGAGAGTCTGAATTTTCTTTCAGCGACAGCAATCGCCTCCAAGGCTCACCAAGCTTTCGATCAAGAACGGGGGACCATGCAGTCAGTATATTAATGATGGAGGGGGAAAAAAGGGGAAAAGAAAAACGAACACACGAAAAAGATACTCATTGACACGTGCTCACACACACACACTTGTGGGCTGGGCCGTGTCGGACGTGTCATTGGGTGTCAGTCAGTCGAGGGGCACCTCTGAGCCTCCCACAGAGAGAGAGAGACAGAGAGAGAGAGAGAGAGAGAGAGAGAGAGAGAGAGAGAGA